TAAATTTGGGACACTTTTGGTTTTCCCTCCCTAGAAATGTAATGTTCTATTTATATATGAACTACAACTTTGGGATCAATAATGTGATACGTCAAATTTAAAAATTGTTTACAAAAAAAAAAAAAAAAAAAACTGCTTATAAATTTGAAAAAAAAGTAAATTTGTTTTGCTCTAACTGTTTGTAAACTATTTTTGGTTTCACCGAAGACAGAGGGAAAATTTTTATTTTCTTATTAATCTAAAATTCCATCTCTTTTTGCTTGAATGATAATATAACGCTCATACGTGTACAAATCGTGCCTAAAAATATCCATGACAAGTCGAAGTTAGCCCAGACTATTATACATATTATATATAGCCAAATGATTGAGTTATCAAGAGCACCACGATGACACGTATAATAGTCTAGCCATTATTTTCTAAACTTTCAAAATCGTTCTATTAATCCATTCGGATGAACGAACAACTTAACATTTTAATTGTCCAAAAAATTGCAAAACATTCAAGTCTTTCGTAAACGTAAAATTCCTCAATCGCCATCAACTCAATTACTTTTACCATTTTCTCAATGTACATCTAAAGAGGGAGTGAGAGGTTGAAGGGTGGCGTCACTGCTGCATATACGTAAGAAAGTCAAAAATATCTAATTAGCTTACGATAAAACTTTTAATTGACGTTTCAAATGATTTTTTTCCAATTATTCAGTTATTTTGTGCTTTGAAAAGAAAAAAGAAATTTGTACTTGGTATAAAATATGGCTTTTAGGGATCATGAAATCGTAATCATCGATAATATATATGTATTTTGGCTTTCTTGACAATTATTTTGAAGCGTTATGAAACCTACAGGACTCGAGTTCATCTATAACGCAGTTTTTTTCATTCGATCGTAAAAATATGAAATCGCACGCACAATTTGTACTGATTTTTTATTTTCCCTCTTGGTGAAGTAAGTCATTTGAAAAAAGGAAAGGAATGTCGGAAGAAAAAAATATGATGAAAAAAAAAAAAAAAGCAAATTTTTTTTCAAGCAGTAAAAATATGTGGCACGTTGGACATGTATCAGCTTACCGGATAAATAACACATTGTTAATGATTCGGACGAAAAAAGTTGTTGTCGTAATTTGTAGATAAAGCGCAAGAATTTCGAGGGAAGAGCTCGTTCGAACGCTTAAAAATGAGCTCTGATTAACTTTCATAAATTCCAACATTTTTGTTATCTACACTTTTGAAATCATAAACGCATTAGGAAATGTACTATATGAAAGTCAAAAATTCTGACATTACCCGCGATAGTTTGAAATCCATCGCACATCGTAGCTTATGATGCAAAAAAGCTGTAACGTGTCTCGCATTCTCTCGTAAACTTTGGAAAGATGTTGCGTTACTGCACGAAAATTGTCGAATCTACAAACACACGGCTTCCAGAATCCGTGACAGAAGTTTCGAGAAACCACTGCAACTCCTCCGTAAAAGATCATCGGTTGAGATAAAAAATGATGCCGAGTCGCGTATTGTACGCAACGACCATAACATTCGCAAGCGGGGGTACAACGGTTTTGCGCAAAAAAACACGCATCTCCCCTTCCCCCCCTATTTAATAGAGCACATAACGAATATTGCGTCTAGAATGCCTGCCGGCTGAAGAGAAGGAAGTGAAGGGGGAAAAGAAGAAAGAAAAGAACTCGCGCGAGGGAAGCCATTGTTTCCTCGAGAGCAAGTGCGAGAGTAAGTATATATACATTATTACACCGGTAAACAGGGCGACGCGGCATGTACGCGCGTGGGCGTGCATATGTGTGATATTATATGTATACCCGCGAGGCGTTGAATTACGACGGAACGAAGAAATTGGAGGCAAAGGGGGAAGAAAAAGCTACTACTGCTGCCGGATGAAGAAGGAGGGAAGGAAGGAAGGAAGCTTTTATTGTCGGCCAGACGCGTCCCAAAAGTAATATTGTCTAATGCGAGCCGTGTACCAACTTCAAGGGGTACGGGGGAGAAAAGCGCGCGAGATTTTCTTAAATGAAAAAGCCAGCAGTCATTGTTTGATGCACCGGCATGAAAGTGCCTTGGGACTTTTCGTTCCACGTATAATTATTCGTAATGCGTCGCACACTCGTATATGATACAAAACGTGCTCGTGCACCTTATTCCACTAATTGGATTTTTTTTTCTTTTTTCGTTGCTTCCGTCGCGTAAATCGCTTAGTTGTTCACCTACGAACCAAGATTCTTACTCACCTCATCTTGAAATTCGAATTAATTAACTAGAAATACAAAATTATTTTCCCTACTCGTACACATTTTTCGTCGTCATACCATACTACCAGATTGAAAAAAAAAATTTTTGCTGGATGAAGAAACCATACTCCCTCAGCTCGTACGTACATACGATGTTCCTATTAGTTTGATGGTACTTTTTAATTTCCCTTAATGCTTTTATTTCGGGGGCTTATCTCGCACAACTCGTAAATACAACGCCCTCCCTCTTCCTTTCCTCTGTATTCGAACGCGCGTCATTATCAATTTCGCGTTGTACGAGTGCTTTTTTACAAAAAAAAAAAAAAAAAAAATTTCGGCTCTCTCTCGACCGCATACATTACTGTAGCAGCCATATTTTCCAAAGTTTTATCGCTCTCGCGGTATATATTTCTTTCGCCATTGGATTTTATCAATTTCAAATCCCAACAGGCATACGCAAATGAAGCCCATTTCGCGTATCACTTGATCTCTGCCGCACGAGCGGTAATTCAAAAAATTATTTACTCGCGCGCGTTTTCTATTGCGGTGACTCTCCGAATGTACTTTTGTTTTTTTGTTTCTTTTTGTTTTTTTTTTCGGTAACCGTGACAAATTCAGGGAGAAAAGAAAAATAGATTTTTACATCGATAGTATTTACGCGCGGTATGACACACACACACGAGCAAATGTAGGTGCGGACGTTTCTCATTTTCCAGCGAAAGCCAGATAGATAGTACGGCCGCCGCAGTACTTATCTACACGTGTACTCGTATGTACCGATATATATATATACCTATACACGCTTTTCATGCGGCGAATAGCCGAGAAGGAGGCTCTCGCATTGGAAATCGCGGTTTATTTCAGCATTCCTCGAGCGCCACGGTTCTCTCTCGCTTTGCTCCCGTGAAATTCTGCAAAAAAAAAAAAAAAAAGGACAGAGAGAGAGAGAGAGAGAGTATGAGAAAGCAGAACTTTCGACATTTCGAATTTGCTGCGAGTCCCCGCCAGCTCTCGTTCGTCCTGTCTCCCTCGCTAGTCCTTTCGGTGATAAGCACCACGCGATAGCAGGTGTCATTAGGGCGATTGGTTTCCTCGCGCTTTGGGTTCTTACCCTACCCCCACTCGATTCCTCCCTCGCGCTCCCTTTTGCACACGAGGTACCCGCAGCCACGGGTCGCTTGCGTTAACATTTTTCCCTAAGAAAAAGGAGCGTTTTTCGGAGATTGACGATTCATCGATCTGTCCATTTTTCGTGTTGACTCTCAAGTTCGAGGGGCGACAGAGTTTTTTTTTTGCGCGACTTATAGGAAATGCACGCAGGCAAGCTCGAAAATTACCATGAATTTCGTACATTTTCTCAGTCGCTCATTATCCCGTCGAATTATAATTTAAACTACACTTCTGGTTATCATAGAAAATTACAGTTTAGTAGTTAATTGTAGGTATGTTCGATGCTGCCCCCCAGTTACCTGGTATTTTAATATTAATCCTCACCGAGTCCAATATCAATCAAGGTGGTCGTTGTTGACAACAAATTAAAATGATCGTTTTTACAAGATTGTACATGATAAAATATAATATTCAGCCCATCGAGCTATAACTTGCACTTTATATCATGATATTTATTGTGTTTATTGGCAAATCCTGTAATGTATCCTCTGGTGTATGTATATCGTGACCAAAGTGCGCAAAGAGACTTAACAAGATGATTTGTTTGTTCATTAGAAGTTGTGAAAGTAGGTATTTGGTAGAAATATTTATAGAAACAAGTTATTTTTTTTTTTTCTAAGATAAAGAAAAATTGCTGTGATTGAGTAAGTATGTTCATGTTGTAAGACAACGTCGAAGTAACTTGACTGGCTAATGAACATGATTTCGCAATTACCTTTACATTTTTTGAGGAATACATACAATTTTAAAAGTTGTAATTTAATACTTCACTTACAAATAGGTAAAAATAATGCTATCCGACGTAAGAGGTTTCTTGTATTGAATGTAATATGACTTTCGTTAAATGGAAAAATAAATGTAATCAACTCTCTATATTTTAATTGTAAGGTAAACGTTGCATAGGTGAATTTTAACTTATTTCTCTGTACACAAATTGAATTTTTCAAACAACAGTCAAAGTAAAATTACCGAAATCGATGTGTTTGATTTTTTCATAATTAAACAAATCTTTTGTCAGAAAATAAAAATATCCTTAGACAAATTTGAGAGGCCAGTAGAGTGGATTTTTGAATTCGTGACTTAATAAAACATTTTCAAGGATTTTATTGTTTCCGCATCGACAAAGACGTGCACAAGTTTTACACACAATAAATTGTTTATACATATAAATACATGCATACTACGTATAACCGATCCTTTCTACCGAAGGATTCGATCAGTGGCTCAAGAAAATCAAAGCCATCTATTTCGTTACATTGCACGAGGAATTTGTAATGATGAAACTTTCAAATGAAATTTAAAAAGTCACAAGCACTTAAAAACCAATAATGTAGCCCCGAGCACCAATACAGTCATACAATGCGCATGTAATATACCTACTTATCATAGCCGATGTGGAGGGAGGCAGTTTTCGTGCTACGTTTCTCCTTCCATACGCCTATAACTAATTACCTCAGTCCGGACAGCCAAAGCTGGCTATGAAAAAATCTGGCTTTCGACGTTAGTACACCGTCACTACATCCCCAACCAAGCGGCTGCTTCGTTATCTAAGTGATTAGCTCAGTTCCCACTTTAATGTCGTGGCTAGTTGTGTGATCAGTTCTATCGGCGACATCGGAGCTGCCTTCGTCGTGACCAGGATTATACCACAGGGAAAAGTTCTGGCCATACTGAAAGTCGAGGAAAGCAACGTGGCAAAGATCGTGAGAGGCCAGTCCGGAAGTCGACTTGTTTCATATAACCAAGAGTTTGTAGTAATATACAAGTAAGATACATTATAAATATTATAATTGAGAGCTTAGCGTGCGATTGTGTTACTTTTATTGCGTGATATTGTCATTTCCAAGTTGTAACAAGCGAGTGATTGATGCAATTGACGTATAACCGCACTTTATGTCGACCCAGTTCGAAACATTGATAACGTACATAAAGTACTTTTTTAGCAAAGAGAATCGGTTAATATTTCAAAATTGAAGTATAAATTCAATATTGTGTCTCTTTTTACTTGCGCCGCAATAACTTTAATGCAACGCATCTAAAATTTTACTTTTACGCATCACTAAAAGAGATATTCAGAGCTGGTAACACCAAAGGTTCCATTTTTTCATACTTTTGTAACGAAAGATAACCCAATAGATCACACGCGCAGACTTACCGAAGCGTAAACTACGCCACGCCCACTTTCTCAGCCACGTATTTCATTCGATTTATTTCGGACGCCATTTGATTCTCGATAAACTTGTAGGCTTGAAAAATGTCTGCTATCAGAGTCGAAGATTCCATGGAGGAATTGCGCTTAGCCGCAGACCATGAGAAAAACCCAAATAAGAAAAAAGCCCTGATTGAAAAGGTTCATCATATTAAAAATGCTTTGCACACCAATCGATTGGAACATCTGATGGATTTAATGATTCACAACAGCAGAAAGTCCGATGTTGAAAAGGCAATCCAACATGTCCAACCCTACGACGGTACTACTCCTTTGAGTCACTTTTTGCAAGATGTAGAAAATGGTAGATCATTGATATCGACACCCACGGAGGAAATGTACTATTTGCAACACGTTATTTCTTTGTTGAAAAAAGATGCTCGCGAATGTCTCACCGGGCAACAAATCAGTTCGCTGGAAGACTTGAAGAAGCGCCTCAAGAAGCGTTTCATGCCACGTGAGACCTACTCCCATTATAATTACGAGTTAACCAATCTTGTCGCCAAAAAAGGCGAAACCCCGACAAGATTCTACGAAAGAATGTTTAATTTAGTTTTGCTAGCCCGCAATTCCGCAGCCCAGGAAGGCATAGGCACTGATGATACCGTCAAAGCCATGCTGGAAAATGTTGGGAGAGAATCGTTCTTACGGGGAATGCCCGACAGTTGGAGGGCATTCATAATGTCCAATAAATACAAGACGTTGGACGAGCTGAAGGACTCGGCGGAAAGTCTCGAAGAGTATTACGAATTCTCGAAAAAAAGATTTTATGCAGAGGAGAGGGACGAGCGGGAGGTCAGAAGTGCCTACGCGGTACGAAATTCTGGTCACCCTCCAAGAGCCCCCCACGAGGAGTCGATTTTCAATACCGAGAGTCTGAGAAACGCTCTGGACGATTCTTGCTACGACAACCATCGTGGAGTGAAGATAAATACCTTTGATTCGGACCCCTACTCGCGAAACCCACACTATTGTTGCGAAGACCCAGAAGAAGAGTGTATGGCAATTCGTCCATACAATACAAGGGACAGCTTTGTTCCACGCCGGACCGTTAGATTTGTCGATAATAACTGTCATCATGAGCAATACCCAAGAGGTATACTAAAACACCCCAAGATACTTCCAATGACAGCTCCTTTGGTCACCGATCGAAGATACAATGAACCGGATCAGGAATGCCTGGAAGGCTGTTGCTCAAGCAACTGCAGCGACGATTTCTGTGAAAACTATCCCACGCCTATGACGCCATGCTTTCATCCACCTGAATTTGAGGATGAGCACTTAGAACAGGAACGGCCAACGTACCCAAGAGGCTATTTGATGAAGGAATCTTTAAACTCGAGGGATGCTCGTCGCCAGGACGCATCGGCGAGTCAATCATTCAAGCGTCCAACAATTCCAAGGCGAGGCAGAGCAGAACGTCACTAACAATAAAGCTCAAAATAAAATATTTAAAAGACCCCACCAATGAATTTCTAATAGACACCACAGCTCAGATGAATGTAATACGTTACGCGGTGTTGGGTCCTCACTTGAAAATAAATAGATCTAAAGCAATCACGATAATTGGCATGTCGCCTGACTACACACCGACGATCGGTACCGTGGTACTAACCATAGCAAATGTTGAGCATGTGTTCCACGTGCTCAGCCCAAAAGTCTTCATCTCAAACGATGGGATTCTCGGATGTCCATTTCTGATAAAGGAAAGATCTAGATTGGATCTCGACACGGTAGCGTTAATAATTGCCAATAGACCAAACGAACCGATATTTTTTAAAGGCCGTACACCAACGCATGGGTATAAACAACGAGAATCCGACCTTTCAGATGAAGATAATGCACGAATTTCAATGATAAATAAAAAACCAAGGAAGCACAATGAGTTTTCGTGTTCAGATGATACCGACAACATTAGACGTCAAAAAGTAGATACTATTTTTAACCGTGATGGTAGAAAAGTGGATACTAGTCTTTGTAAATTTCCCGTGAGCCCAAGATTGGCCATTAAAATTCCTGGGAAGGCTCAGCGATCGGTTCCAGATACCAACGCCCCATCTACACAACCTCCAAGCATACATACAAATTGTCATTTCAGATAACATTTTTAACTTTTCTTCCAAAATCAAAACTGTTTCAAGAGATTCAGGAAAAACGTTTTACAGTCAAACAATAAACGATGAAATTGGAATGAAATCAGTCATAAAGAACATTAAGTTTGTTACAGTTTTAACAATGCAACAGTATAATTGACTAACAACAAAGATACTCTCAAGTGGCAAAAAAAAGAGTTATATTTTCAAATTGCACTATAAATAATCACAATAAAAAACCGCTCAAAAAAATAACAGAAATCGCACGCTAAGTAACAAAATTATTGCTTTTATCATACTCATCAGACCTTATGCAATTGTAGGAAGCATGAAGCGATTTCAACGTATGATGATCTTTTTCTTGCTGTCGATTGTAGCAGTAACTTTCGGCGTAGACTCAAAGAAAAAATATAATATCGAGCCAATCACGAAAAATCCAGGGATTTTTTATGAATACATGAACGATGTACGATTGATTACAACAACGTGGAAAATATACATCACAATTGACCTCAGAAATATAGTTCAGCCGTTTAGAAGAATCGACGAGTTGGTAGACGAGGTGTTTAACAACTGTATGAAATCCAACATCACTAATATCAACTGTGGAGAAATAATACCAAAGAAAAATATAAAACAACTCCACAAACAACTAACACAACTACAGGATAAACTAGTCCAATTCCTTCAGCCCTCGGTTCTGAGTGAAAAAAAACGAAGTAGGTCAATACGATCTCCTTTCGATGGCGTGGGTTGGTTGTCGCGCAAATTATTCGGTACTATGGATGCTGACGACAGAGAACAGATAAGACAAGAAATCGGTGCTTTGTATGATCAACAAAAAAATGTAACCGAGTTATCTGCAAGACTAACACACATAGTCCGATCGAACCTCGAAAGCGTACATAAGGATTTAAACGAGATCCACAAGGACATAGAAAAAGTTGATGGGACAATAAACGATTTGATAAACAAGTATAATAAAAACAAACGTATTGGAGAACAAGAGAAAATTAAAGAGTCATTCGAAGATTGGGTGAGTAACGTGGAAGATGCGCTTTTCAAAGCAATAACCTCGTATGACAATTTTATAAACGCCATGGAAACAGCTTGTGAAGGACATCTTCACCCTTCGTTATTAACACTAGAACAATGGAATTATCTCATAAACGATTTGAAAAAAAACGTAAGGCATAATATATATATAAATGGCGAGTCGGGATTGACTCTTGCGAAATTACATTCGATGTCACGGACATCTGTATACGTGAACACGGAAAAAAAGCTAGTTGTCAAGATTGAAGTACCACTCGTTAGTAACGAAGAATTTGAACTCCACGCAATACATCCAGTCCGTATTCCAAAACGTATCCATGAAGAACTCACTGGATATGTAAGTATAAAACCCAAGGCACCCTATCTAATAGTACAACGTGATAAAGAAAGTTATTATCTTGCCACTGAAGATTATTTGTTATCCTGTATCGACGTTGACAATGTTCAACTCTGCCCGCCAACTATTCCAATCTTACATAATAAAAATGTAACCAACTGTGAATTCGCATTGTTTGGCACACCCGAAAACATTGATTTAAAGGAATGCGATTTTACAATATCAAATTTGAGAAATTCCCAATGGACTAGACTGCGAAAAACTTCAGAATGGTTGTACTCGATAAAAGATTCACTTAAACTTAAAATCGAGTGTACAGATGGCAAAAATTCTATAATAAAAACCATGACTGTCAAAGGAGTGGGTCGACTAGGAATCGACGGAACATGCATCGCTACCTCCAAAGACGTAACCTTACACGGTGTAACAAACTTAGTCTTTAATTCTGGGAATACTTATACGCCAGACATAGAGTTCGATCTGCTCAAACTATTGAACCGCCGTGATTTTAGCTCGGAGCAAAACGCAGAAACGCATGAAATCAGCCCACTCTCTGTGGAAGAGAAAAGAGAATTCAATAAATGGGCTGACTCTGAGGATAGTCTGTCCCTCAAAACAATAGAAAATAAGTTTGATGAAATATCAAAGCAAAAAGAAATCAGTTTCAAAAATAATGTTACGATAGGAGCGGCCGTTGGAGGAAATACCCTATTAATAATACTTGCTGCTATCGCGGTATGGATATATTTCAACAAGTGTAGAAATCAAGAAAAAAGCGACCAAGTAGTAAAAATTGAGAACATAACCCATAATCCAGGCAATGAATCGAAAAACCCGCACATTCAACAGTTTCCATATATTGAACAAGGAATGATAGTAAACCCCTATGCCTCAAAGCAAAACAGCAGACAGTTAATGCCGCAAGAAGAAATTTATTTACGCAAATCTTCAGCTACTCATGAGTTAGAAACACCTAAAACTCCCGTGTTAACACTAAAGAGTCGACTTCCTTACCAAAATATAGTGTAGAAAAAAAAATACAACAAAATACTACTTGACACTAATGTTCTTGAT